AGGAGGAGGAGGAGAGGTTCACTTAGCTTCCAAAGGGGTGACCAGCGGTGCGGTGTCGCTCCAGATCAGGTAGGCGGGCGAGTCCGGCCGCCTGCCGATGCACAGCGAGAACCGCTCCGTCTCGAAGGTCTCCAGCATGGTCTTCTTGTTCCGCAGCGCCCGCCAGACCGATCTGGCGGGCTCGGGGCTTCCACTGCACACGTGGGGCACCATGCGATGCGGAAGCATCCGCCAGACTCTCATGTCGGGCGCGCCGAGGATGGGGGCCAGAAAAGGGGGGGGCAGCGGACCATGCCCCGAGGCATGTGCGCGGACATGGGGGCGTGAGAGAAGAGGGAACATGAAATCTGGGGGGCGTCATGGCCCAGGCCATGCCCACAACACACACACGCACACACACACACACTCACACACACACACACACACACTTGCCCCACTTGCCCCGCCCCCTTCCTCGGACTGGAACCGCCTACCATCAGAATAATGTTCTTTTAGTTATAAACGATTTTCGCGTTCTCGCCGTTTTCGACTCTCGGGGGCCCATGATGCCCTAGCAGCCTCCAAAATGGCCCCGAGACGGACCCAGAGGCCCCCAAGAGGGGGACCCCTCGCGAAGCGAGAGGAATCTAGCATCGAGGAGGATGGAGGATGGAGGGTCGATGAGGTTTGGACGTTTCCCTCAGGACACCTGTCCTCCGTGACGATCTCCTACCGCTCCGCGCCCCTCAGACCGTCTTTGGGAGTCCGGGGGGGGGGGGGGCGGGGGCTGGGAGGTCCGGTGGATTCCGTGTCCTGGAGGAGGTGGCGACCCCTCTGAAGTGGTGCCCCCCCCGAGGCACTGTCGGATTCGCGGCCCCTCAGCCAGGCGCAGCCGTCGGGGACGGCATCTCGACCCACCCCCAGGCAGCCCGAGCTCTCTCCAGAGGCTGCCACCCGCGGGGGGCGCGGAGGCAGCTCCTGGGAGGTCTTCGCGGGGGAACGGCCGGGGACTGCTGAGGAAGCTCGCTTGAAGAGCACATCGAGCCGAGCGAGGCCAAGGATTTATCGAGCGGGGTCAGGCTGGGCTGAGAGGGAGTCGGCCGGACCAGGGTGGTTCGAGCACTGATGCACCAGCACCGATGCTAACTTGAGCCTCCCAGGAGCTGCAACCCAACGAGGGGAATCACGCCTCTGGCTGCAGCAATGATAGCGCAGCCGCTCTCGCGGCGGGGCATGCCTCTGTGAGCCTTCGCACGCGATGCCTGCAGATGCACGCCGACCACTCTCGGATCCCGGGCAGGCCGTCCAAGACGCCTCTCACATGAAGAGTGGCCATCGCGACTCGACCTCCGAAGCGGGAGGCGGGAGACAGGCCCCTAGTGGGTACTCAGTAGACGGGGACGTCGGTCGATGCAGGAAGTGCGCCTTCCTGTCGCGTTCCTGCACCATCCCGTGCGAAAGCGGCGCGGTACTGCCACTTTCCTGCCACCTCCTTGCGCGCTGCCGAGGGACCTGCAGCGGTGACGCTGGACGGAGACGGCATCATGGAAGCCGGGGCCTTGGCTTCAACATCGAGGGGCCTCCGGAAGAGCAGCAGCAGGGCATAGACATATATATATATAGAGAGAGAGAGAGAGAGAGAGACACAGAGAGAGAGAGAGAGAGACCCGGACCTCTCGACGACTTGAGAGAGACAGCCCCTTGGGCGGCTGGCGGGTTCGCGCCCTGGGGCACGCTGGCCTCCGGCTGCTGATCCTGTTTCTTTCTCCCCCTCCTACGCATACGGCCGGCACACACGATAAGAAGTCTTGCTATGAGAAATTTAGGATCTAGGGGGACTTCACTCCTCGTTTTTATGCTTCGCGAGGTCCTCAGGGATCTGCGGACCCATCGGGCGACAAGGAGCTCTCTGAGGGCACCTCTCTGAGGGCACAGCCTCTGGAGGGCGGGGAGGGTCTTCGGGGCCTGGGCGAGACGAGGGTACTGGGAAGGGGCCGAGAGGTCCGGAGGACACCCCCTTGGCGCGGCCACGGGAGGCATCTACACCGCTCCTGGGCACAGGACGGGCCTGGCCAGCGTCGGTGGATGTGCGTAGATCTCTGAAGGGGCTCAGGGACACACAAGTGGACACAATCCAAGGATCCCCCATACGTTTGCATATGTTATGGATGTTCGCCTTCAGCTCCACTTCCAATACTTTCCATATTCTCCTCGGAATCGGCAAGTCGTTGTGTCTGTGCCCCTCTCCCTCCTGAATATCGTCGCCCGAAGGGACTACTGTCCACATGTCTGTCCGCCCGCCGTCGCCACGCGCACCAGGCGGGTCAGCAAGCCACGCAACGCCCCGCCCTGGTGGCCCCGCGGCGGGACACGCAAAGCACAGCGGCAGGAAGAGGGGGTGCATGCGAGGCTGATGCACATCCACCGCCTGGGAAACCGAGCTCGTCCAAGGGCCCCAGGTGGGCAGCGGACGTGGGCACATCTTGGCCCCAGGGTGGCGCGAAAACACCGAAATCCTTCTTCCCCCGAAGTCCAAGAAGACACGCTCCTCCTCCTCCTCCTCCTCCTCCTCCTCCTCCTCCTCCTCCTCCTCCTCCTCCTCCTCCCCGGGCGGTGCACACGCGGCACCGAACAAATGCCACACTGTTGCTCCCGCCGCCTGCCTTCCCACCTTTTGCGCCGCCTTCCGCCCGCGGGCCCGCCGCCGCGGCACTCACTTCCGCCCGCGCCTCCGGCGGCCTCCGCCGAGGGCGCCGGAGGCGAGGCCCCCCCTTTCTGGAGTGTGCCGTGCACAGGGCCTCGGCCCTCGGACGGGACGGGGGCGGGCAGATCGTGCCCCCCCCAAGAGCGTGAGAGAGAAAGAGAGAGAGACAGAGAGAGAGAGAGGAAAGAGAGAGGAAAGAGAGAGAGAGAGAGAGAGATAGGAGAGAGAGACAGAGAGAGAGAGAGAGAGCCCTCGGACCGGAGGCACACAGCAGGGAAGGCGACGGGCCAACGCAGCTCCGGCGGGGGGGGCAGCGCGCCCGGGGGGGGGGCAGAGCCCCGGCGCACAGCTCCGCGGAAGCGCCCCCGGGGGCACGGCGGCCGCAGCTCGTTCCACGCGGGGGCAGCGCACGCGAGAGGGGGGGGGGCTACCCAGAGCGGCCCGCGGCTGGCAGCGTGCAGCACCAGTGCAGGCACGCCTGCGCCCGCAGGGCCTGCCTGCTCTTGCACGCGCGCCTCCGAGGAGGCGGCGCCCCGGGATCCTTCTCTGAAGGGGGCACCGCACGAGGGAGGGGGCACCGCACGAGGGGGGGCACCGCACGAGGGAGGGGGAGGTCCCCGGAGCGGCCCGCGGCTGCAGCGTGCAGCACCAGCGCAGGTGCACGCCTGCGCCCACAGGGCCTGCTCTTGCACGCGCGCCTCCGGGGAGGCGGCGTCCCTGGATCCCTCTCTGAAGGGGCCCTGGGACACACAGATAAATGCACACACATATAAAAATATTCCCCATGTTTTCCCATATGTTCTGGGTTGTTGTCTTCCCCCCACTTTCCATATTTTCCCATACTTTCGGGGGAATCGAAGATGAATTGTGTCGGTGTGTTTTGTTCCCCTCCTGATTCTCGTTCGCATGCCGTTCCGCCGTAGCGACGAGGCTCTCCCTGGCAGAGTAGCAGGTGCCCAGCGCGATGCCACGTAAATCGATCTCGGCAGGACCTGGAATCGCCCAGCGCTGGGGACGCGAGGCCCGAGCCCAAACTGTCGGAGAGGTCCGTGTGGACTTCTCGAGTCCGCTGGACTACCCTTCCAACTCCCCCGGCGGTGCGCCGCCCCCGGCGGGTCCGGCACCGAGCCGAGAGCTCCGCCCGCAACTATGAAGAGTCATGTTCGTGTAGTTTCCTGGTCGTCTGCTCCCCCTCCGTCTTGCCGCCCCACCCGCGTCCCCCTCCTACGTCCTCAACGATGAACGTTCTCCCACCAGCGGAGGAACTCGCACGCCAGGACCCCTGAACGGAACAGAGGCGGTCCGTCGAACCAAAGAGAACGCGGCGACACGCTCGAAGAGCTGCTTCCAAGAATGGGATAAGATGTGAAAGCAGGCTTCCACCAGAGCGCACACCGGACTGCCAGGATCAGCTAGTTCTTAAATGTTTGACGGGGACACCGAAAGAAGAGGCGGCGGCGGTCCTCCTGTCTGACATAGTCTTCATCAAGCTGTCAGGCACAGGCTTCCCCTCGTCGATGTACCTGGACACGTTCTGCACTGCGAGCCTCGCCGGGGCCGTCGCCAAGAGACGCGGACCCCACAACTGCTCACACCTCCTGCTCACCGTGGCCCCCTCAGCACGACAGATGGGGGGGAGATGGAGACACAGTCAACCCGTATAAGGACGTACGGTAAGGATGCAAGGGCCTTGGAGGGACATGTTAACGTTTGTCGAACGAGGTTGGCCAGCGAAAGTCGCAAAGGATGGGCCGAAGGGGCAAGGATGCAGGGGCAGGCAGCCTTGGAAAATTGCTGATCCTTATTATGCGGGTTGACTGTAGGGGACGAGGCGGAAGAAGCGTTTCAAGAGGACGCAAGCACGGCCACCGCTGCGGACACCGTCTGGGCCCAGCAAAGACCAGGGAGGAGAAAGCCCTTCAAGAGGAGGAGGAGGCGGATACCACTTCGCGGGTGAGCTTCACTTACAGTGCGATGGAGGCTCGCATTGGAAGCGACGACATCCTGCAATAGCATACTTGCGCTTTGCGGCAAAGGGGCGTCCGGTTGAGTTCACAGAGTCGTCTCCCGGGGGAGCCGGCAATTCTGGCGCAAACGGATGTGGGAGGGAATGTCCGCTGGGAGATAATCTGGAGAAGTGGCCGGAAGGTAATAAAGCTTCGCGATGCAGAGGCAGCTGAGCTCGAACCGAATGCCACGTAGTCCTGACAGAGCACGACATGAATTAACGCAGGCGCTGTGCAAATCCATCGCCCCTCCAGCAAGTGCACATAGATCCGCCACGTCACTATGGCGCGAGCACTTTGCGCCAGGGCTGCGATTGATGATTGGCGTTTGTTCAGCTTGGCTCCTTCGAGGGCAGCAGATAGGCCCAGCACGCGTCGATGTCCACATGCGGCGCTGCTGGACTGCTCCAATCTCCTACGTCCGGCCCCCTGGGGGAAACGAGTAGCACAACGACAGACGGGAGCCCACGGTGCCCCCCCGCGTCCCTCACCTGCCCACGCGCAGACCCCGCCGCCCCGGCCCCAGCCCCCCAACACATAGCCTGCATGCCAGAGCACCTGAAAGAGCGGTTTCTGCTGCTGCTGGCAGAGGGGGGATGCAGCCCCCCCCCCCAAAAAAAAGCTTGGAGGTGTCCAGTCCCTCCCCTCCCTGAGGTTCCCTTGGGGCGGGCCGCGAAGTGCCACGGGGGCCACGACGGCCCAGGACGGCTCCAAGGGGGTGTCCGACGATCCAAGATGGCCCCCCAGACGGCTCGAGGTCACCGACGATGGTTCAAGGTGGCTTCCGGCATGGCTCCAAGAGGCCCGACGAGGGTCACAAGACGGTTTCTAGTGCCCTCGGAGCCCCTTTAGGATCCCCCCCTGAGAGGCAAAAAATCCGCTTAAACAGAGAATCAACGAGTTGTGCCTTCTCACCGTTTCGTTTCAGATGCGTGTGTGAGGCCTCAAGATTGCCCCAATATGTCTCAAGAGAGCCCCAAGAGGGCCCAAGAGGCCCCCAAACCAGCCCCAAGAGCGCCCAAAATCGGGCCAAGAGCGTTGCAAGGGCGCCCCAAGAGGCGGCGATGCTGATGGCCCCATGGGGAAGGGGGAGGGGGGAGGAAGGGGGAGGGGGGGGAGGGGGGGAAGGGATGACGCGAGGCGGGGGGTGGGGGCCCAAGAGACCCTCCAGGGCTCCAAAGGGACCCCCAAGAGGGAGGGCTCCAAGAAGGCCCCCAAGAGGGCCCCAAGACCCCCCAAAAGAGCCCCAAGAGGGCCCCAAGATCCCCCAAAAGAGTCCCCAGAGGGCTCCAAGAAGCGATGATGATGGCTCTGTCCTCGTCTTCGTTGTCCTCTTCCTCCTCCTCCTCCTCCTCCTTCTTCTCCTCCTCCTCCTCCTACTCCTCCTCCTCCTTCACTTCCTCCTCCTCCTACTCCTCCTCTTCTTTTTTACAGCAAAGCCAGCACTCCCTCTCTACACGTACTTGCTCAGAGAGCCTGTGCCAGGGAACACGCGGGCTGGATAGCCGCGCCCATTCTGAGTCCCCGCCGCCGGCGCTGTGTCGTACGTAGAAGATCGTACAGACCGCTGTGGAAGAAGGAAACGCTGCTGGACTCCTCGACGATGCTGGCCGGCCGGCGGTTGTAGATAGAAACCAACCCCAAAGCAAAATGTCGAATATAGTTGGTCGGGCAAGAATGCGACAAGGCGAAATCGGTCCAATGCCCATCCTCGTACTCCATTAGTTGCGGACGGTGTCTCCCGCTGGACGCCCTCACGGCCTCGCTGTTCAGCTTGACGAATCCCCGAAAGTGCTCATGCCCTCTGCCCAAGACCGCCCTGTGTATTAATCCCAACATCCTCCTCCTCATCATCCTCATCATCATCATCATCAGCAGCAGCAGCACCATCATCATCATCATCATCATCATCATCAGCAGCGGCATCAGCATCATCATCATCATCATCATCAGCAGCATCAGCATCAGCATCGGCATCAGCAGCATCAGCATCAGCATCATCAGCAGCCTCATCATCACCAGCATCAGCATTGCCACCATCATCACCACCATCAACAGCATCATCAACAACATCAGCATCAGAAACAACAACAACAACAACAACAACAACAACAACAACAACATCAGCATGATCCTCACCCTCGTCCGCGTCCTTGCCCTCATCGTGTTCCTTTTCCTTATCCTCCTCCTCCTCCTCCTCCTCCTCCTCCTCCTCCTCCTCCTCCTCCTCCTCGTGGTCGCCGTCGTCGCCGTCGTCATCTTATCTTTGTCTTAATTACTATTACTATTAGTAGTAGCGTTGTTATTGTTATTAGCATTATTATTATTGTTCCACCACCTCCTCCTCCTCCTCCTCCTCTCCTCCTCTTCCTCCTCCTCCTCCTCCTCCCCCTCCTCCCCCTCCTCCCCTCCCCCTCCTCCCCCTCCTCCTCCTCCTCCTCCTCCTCCTCCTCCTCCTCCTCTTCCTCCTCGTCCTCCTCCCCCTCCTCCTCCTCCCCCTCCCCCTCCTCCCCCTTCCCTCGCCCCCACGCGGGCCCCAGGGATGGCCCGAGGAGGTCTTCCATGGCCGCCTCCTTTCTCCCAAAGATCTCCCTGTTCACCTTATGTTCCCAGTCTGTTTCAGTTTATGTCTCTTCGTCCCTTTTCCCGTCAGCTCTCATGGGCAGGTTTTTTTGACTGGGCTGGTGTCATACGCGAAGCGTGAAAATTAATCGAAGGGTCCAGAACCCCCCCACCACCACCCTCACCCCTCGACGACGACGACGACGACGACCACGACAACGATAACGAAAACGATGATGACAACGACGACGACGACGGCGACGAAGAAAAAGAAAAAGACGACGAAGACGACGAAGACAAAAACGACGACGACGACGACGACGACGTCGCCAGCGGCATACGACGACGACGATCGAGCCCGATTGGGATGCAATTAAAGCTGGATCGAGCCCGAAAAGAATTCCATTAGAGCCGGATCCAGCACTACTAGGAATTTATGAGAGCTGGACCCAGCCTTAGTAAGATTCTAGTGAAGCTGAATACATGCTCTGATTGGAAGCTGGATCGAGCTCTAGTGGGAATCCATCAAACCTGGATCCAATCCTGATATGACTTTACTAGAGCTGGACCCAGAAGCAATAGCACTGCATTAGATCTGACCATCCTTAGTCAGACTTCATTCGAGCTGGATGCACCCCAGCTAAATCCGACTAGAGCTGGGCCGACCCACACTGGGATTCTATCACAGCCGGATGGAACCCGAATGAGACTTTGTGAAGGCTGGGTCGACCCCTCAACGGATGTTATGAACGTTGGATGTGGCCCTATCAGGTTCTCTCAGAGCTGGATCGACACCTAGTAAGAATCGGTGAGAGCTGGATCCAGCCCTACAATAATCTGTTGAGAACTAAATGAAGCCCCAATGGCATTCTATGTATGGAGGCTGGATCGACCTTTAGTGAGATTCCCTCAGACCTGAGTCCAAGCATGGCAGGAAACTGCAAAAATTGGACCGACCCTAACAGGATTCTGTGAAACTGAATCCAACCCGAATGGGATTGCATAAGAGCTGGTGGATCGAGCCCTCAGAAAGGCCGCAACATAGCCCCAACAACACCCGAAAGACAAATGAAAACGTCCGCTCCCAACCCTAGCCGCATCAGCGGACGCGCGGTCCAAGCGCCGGCCCCAATAAAACTCTAAACGGGCTTCCACCTGCGGGTAAGGCCCTGGGGTGATCCCCTCCTTGAATTCGAATCTTAATAAGGACAATGGATGGAGCCTCGTGTGGGCGATTCTGCTTGGGACCTCCTCAGACTCAGCCTGGCTTGGCCGCTGGTTTGGCCTGGTTTCGCCGGCGGTTTGGCTTGGTTTCGGCCCGGTTTCGCCTGACACGTCCTCCTCAGAATTGCCATGTATGGCCCGGGTTTGGTTTGACTTGGGCCTGGTTTCGCCTGAAACGTCCTCAAATTAGTTTGGTGTGGTGTGGGCCCACCATCGCTTGAGACGGTTTCACAATTTAGCCTGGTTGGCCTGGGCGAAACGAAAAGACCTCGAAGGTACGCAAGGTTGAATAACATCCGCTATGGTCGCCATGCGGTATCAATACACGGTGGCATGTGTCACGCTGTCTTCGACACAGAACGGACTATAAACAAACATCTTGGTGGGCGTGTACAAACCGAATAAATGGCACGGTGTCATGAATACCCATTGTGGCCCACATGTAACACGACTACGCGACAGAAAGGCGGGCGGCATGGGTATGGACATCCCCCACACACTGCTAAACGGCATGATCGTGCATAGCGGCGTTAGGTGAAAACCTTTCCAAGGCTGTAGCAGAGCTGGATCCACCCAAAATACGATTCGATTAGAGGTGGATCGAGCTCTGAATGACTCTATCAAACTTGGATATAGTCCGAATGGGACCCCATCAGAAATGGAACGAGCCCGTTTTAGGACGCCACCAGAGTTGGATCCGGCCCTAATGGAACTCGGTTGGAGCTGGATCTCGGAAACTCTACTAGAGCTTGACCGAATCCGAATAGGATTGTAATAGAGCTGGATCTGGCCGTAGTAGCAGGATTCTATCGAAGCTGGATCGAACACTAATCTGGTCCTATCAGAACTGCATCGAGCCCTCAGAAGGTTCGGTTGGGGTGGGAAACAGCGCTACTAGAATTCTCCTAGAGCTAGATCTAGCCCCAATCACTTCTACTACAGATGGGGCGACCTCGAATAGGGTTCTATTAGGATAGAATTGCGAACAACACACAATTTATTGAAACTGGATCGGGCCCTCGAACAGGCCAGGTGCGGTGGCTGACGTTGTCGCCATCGTCGTAAGCGTCGTCGTCAGTGTCGTCGTCGTCGTCGACGTCGTCGTCATCGTCCTCGCTGTGGTCGTCGTCGTCGTCGTTGTCATCGCCTTCGTCGTCGCCTTCGTCGTCGTCGTCTCGTCGTGTTCGTCGTCGTCGCCGTCGCGTCCGCCTCGTTTGCCAGCGGCGGCGACGTCGTCGTCGTCCTCGCCGTCGTCGTCGCCGTCGGTGCCGGGGAAGGGGGACGGGGTTCTGGACCCCTCGGATAAATTTCCGAAGGGAATGGGGAGGGGGGGTCGGAACTCTGGGCTCCTGGGTTCTCTGGGGGGGGAGGGGAGGGGGGTTGGGAGGGGGTTCAGAGGGGGGAGGGGGGGGACTGCTGGTTTCTGACCCCCCCTGGCGGAGTTTGCTCGAGGGGGCGGCGGGTGGGGGCCCCTACATAGGTCTCTGACCCCCCCTTCTGAGAGCTGTTTTTGGCCAGCGACGGTGGATCGCGCTCTCTCGAGCATCCTAAGGGCCCCTGGGGTCTCCCTGGACGGGGGAGGAGGAGCGGGAGGAGCGCACGGCCGAGGGAGGTGCCGTCAAAGCTGTTGGCGGGCTCTCGCGGCATGGCCCGGAGCAACAAGAAGCTGAAACTTGCAATCTCCAGGCGGGTGGAGGAGGACGGGGGAAGGAGACAGCAGAGGGGAGGGAGGACGAGGAGGAGGAGGACGAGGAGAGAGTGAGGGGGTAGGGAGGGGGGAAGAGGAGAGGGGGATAAGGTGGGAGAGGATAAAAAGAATCACGAGGACGGACGACGGCCGACGACGACGGGAGAAGGAGGAAGAGGAAGAGGAGAATGAGCAGGACGGACGACGACGGACGACGGCCGACGACGACGGACGACGGACCCACGACGGACGAAGAACGACGACCGACGACGGCGACGAGAAGGACGACGACGGAGACGACGACGGAGACGACGACGGCGGAGACGACGGAGACGAGAACGACGACGACGACGACGAAGACAGCGGCAGCGGCGGCGGACGCCTGGCCTCAATTTCTCCGCGGCGTCGTTGGCGACCGTCTCCGGCGGACCGACGCCGATGATGGACTGGAACGACGAGGCGCTCAGCACCTGTGCCGGCGGCCCGCGGGCGGCCAGCGGGCGAGAACGACTGCCGTCGGGGCGTTGACCTAAGGAGCCCTGAATAAGGAACGAGGCCCCTCTTCTCCAGAAGTTCAATTTCGACTTCCCATCGAGAATCTAAGGGTAACGTGGGGCAAACTGTGAAACAATGAAGGAACACGAAGCCCCTCCCCAACGAAAAGGGTTCCTTATTCAGAGCCCCGACTGTACGACTCGACTGCGACGACGGCACTGGGCATCTCTGGGGGTGCGAGGCCGATGGTGGACGGAGCGACGAGGCGGCTGGTTCCCGGGAGGAAGGGAAGCTAAGGCAAAGTATCTCCCCCCCTCCAACGGGATCGAGGATCCTGGACCTACGCTGCTTGATCCTTTGGGCCTCTCGCTACGCCGTACAGCGGGTCCGATCGATCCGATTCGCCGTCGATCCTGGCAGGCCCGATCCGATTCGACTCTGGCACTGCGAAGATCCGACAGCGCAGCCAATCCGATCCAATTTCGGCTCCATGTCGATGCGGCCCAGCCGTTGGAGGCCTCCGCAAGCCCCTGAGACCTCTGGAGATCCCCGGGGACCTCAGCGGACCTCCAGGGACCTTCGGGGACCTGCCATTCTCAAAATCCTCGCCACGAGTGGCCGCTCCTTCTGCAGATCCCCCGCCATAGGACAACTCTGACGGCCAGTTTCCCTTGGGTGATGGGCGACCCATCTCGGCAAGCGGGAGCACCAAAAAACAGATCAGCGTGCAGAAGTACGTACTGTCCACGGGAAGGCGTCGAGAGGCCGCGGGGACCACATCACGAAGGAGTCGTAACGTCGGATGTCTGGGGCAAACTCCTCCCCCTCCTTTTCCTCCTCCTCCTCCTCCTCCTCCTCCTCCTCCTCCTCCTTCCCCCCCTCCTCCTCCTCCTCCTCCGCCTCCTCCGCCTCCTCCTCCTTCTCATCCTCCTTCTCCTTCTCCTCCTCCTTCCCCCCCTCCTCCTCTCCTCCTCCTCCTCTCCTCCTCCTCCTCCTCCTCCTCCTCCTCCTCCTCTTCATTCCTTCCTTCCTTCCTTCCTTCCTTCCTTCCTTCCTTCCTTCCGCTCGCATTAGGCGGCCCACTGTCGGGACGCCCGCCCGACTGCGCCACCCAGCGGGGGCACCTACGATCACCGCAGGTGGGCCACCTAGCGCCCAGCCCGCGTCAGTCCCTCCACGCGGCCAGGGGGCGTGGTGGTGGTTAGGCAGGGGGTTGGGGCAACTCCAGGATTATCGCCTATTTGGGGTATTGGGAATGGTTCATCCTGGCCCGTGGTGGTGTGGAATGGTTCATACAATGTCTGCGGTACCAAGAGGAATGTCATCACGTATCCTCGGATTTTGTCATAGCTGCGTAACGATGACAGACCAGTGTGTGCAAGGTCAAGGCATGCATGCTGCAATGTACCAATGTCGATTGGCCAGCAGCGTCGGTCCACCAACACAAACCAGAAGGCGCGCAGTGATATCATCGCCTAGTCCCTGGCACGCGCTCACACGTGCCTCCACACGCGCGTCGTATATAGCTATATCTTTTCCCACGTTGCTAAGCAAGCTCGCGCCCTTAGGGGTTGGATACAACTGTGACAGACCGAACGGACAAGCGTGACCCCCCCCCTATATCCTCCCTTGGGGCTTGTTCTGGGCAACGGGCTTGGCAGGCGCGTGGGACGACTGCCAGTTAACAAGCTCAACAAAAATCCTCGCCACCCTCATCCGTGCAACCCTCCCCATCCGCATCCTCTGCTTATCGTCGTCCGTCGCTCCTACGTCGTTTTGCCCACCGTCGTCCCTCACACCTCCTCTTCCCTCCCTCCACCGCCCCTCCTGATTTGCACAATATTCCGTGCGTCGCCCACTCCCTCCTCCATGAACCCCCTCCGTTTCTCCTCGTCTCTCCCCCCAAGTTGCTATCGCATTCCCCCATTGCACCTCATCCACACTACATCCTCGTTCACCCTCGCCCCTCGCAGCTCAATCATGTCGATCGGATGTTTTGGGGAGGGTCACGTGACGAATGTCACCACACCTGTTATGTTTCCTGGTATTTGAGATGATGGGATGTTTTGTGTCAGACTATTGTGTTCCTTTTTGTCTTAATGTTTATAGTGAGTGTGTCCCATTCCTGCCTCCTCGATTGTCCTATCCTTATACATCTTGCTGTTAGGCTACAATAAGACTTAGTGGTGGGTAGGCAGATCACGAGAGGTCCTGGTAGAGATGGGATCGATTTAGGGGTTACAGTTTGGAACTTCGGGCTCACCAAAGGGCGCAGACACGAAATCGGGGGGGAGTGCGGGCCGAAGGCGAATATTAAGCGACGCCCCCCCAGGCTTTAAGTTTAGCTTGGCTGTCTGGAAGGCTTAGCTGGTTGATAATGTTATGGTTGGTGTCATGTGCTTGGCACTTGCCCCGACAGTGATGCGATGGTGGCAGTGGTGTGATGATCGACGATCCAGCACCTGAAGCAATGTCACCGCTTGCAGCAGGCAAGCGCCCCGTAGGTCGAATTCCCTGGCTGGGAACCTTAAATTGCCTAGAACGAAGCAACTGAGACTGCGCTGCACTGGACTGGCTCTGCGACGGCGCCGCCCCTCTGCTCGAGTCTGAGCCCGACGGGAGCGACGCGGCGGGGTTGCGCAGCTTCTTGCGCTCGCTAAATTTTGGAATCCACTCGCCAGGCTGAAACGTGCGCCTCTTCTGCTTCGGGGTCCGAGCAATCGCTTCTGCCAATGCCCTGGTGTTCTGTTCAACGATCGCATCTGAGCTCGGATCGAAGACACTCACTTGATCGAAGAGCGCATTGCCAGTCACAACTGTATGATACCTCGGGCGTGGTACAGCGGATGCCCCATCATCTTCACACCGACGTTTTTTCTTCCGACCCTTCCGTTCTGGCGCAGCAGGGTCCTTCACGGACCAGAGGTCGACCATCTCGATCGCACCACCACCCTCCATCGGAACGGCTGCCGTTCGGTGAAAAAGCAGAAAGGTGCACCCCTGTCGAGACAAACGGCTGAGGTAGACGGTGCGATCATCATCCCCACGCAGTGTGTACGTTTGCGGCAGACTCCGCGGACCCAATGCAATGGTGTCGATGGTGGGAACGGTTGGTATACTTGTTATGTATTGCGTGCGTGCATGTATCGTTCCACGTATGTAGGTGTGCGTAAGTTGTGTGCGTGGTTGTGCACGTACCCTATTTTTATGTTTTATGTGTACGTCCGTTTGCCTATAGTATGCGTGTTCCCTCCGTGCGCATATTCACCGATCGTCAGTGCTTGTGTTGTTGGGTCCTCGTTGGTCTGCACCCTACAGTAATGCATGTGCGAAGTGCAAATGTCGCTAGCTACGCCTACACGTTTTGTATAAATATGCATGTTCCTTGTTTCCATATAGGTCCTTATCTCTTTAACGTTCTGTATGGCCCTCTCTCTCTCTCTCTCTCTCTCTCTCTCTCTCTCTCTCTCTCTCTCTCTCTCTCTCTCTCTCTCTCTCTCTCTTTATGTGTCTCTATCTCCTGTCCTGCGTCGCCGAATGCGAAGGCGGGAGGCCTCGGCCACGGGCAGGCGCAGGTCTGACACAGTTTGGTCATGGTCAGGCGGAGCGGAGCGGCGACGGCGCACAGTGCAGCACGCAAATCAAAACATTGTCATATCAAGATCCGAGCTCCGCTCGGATCTGGCTCAGAGAGACAGAGAGCCCCAATCCAGGCTCACTCCCCGTCGGTCCAGCAGCCTGCCAGTTAGCAACGATGGAACGTGCCCTTCATATATTAATACTCCTCCTCCTCCTTGGCGCGTCCTTCCCCTGAGTTGGTCATTCTCGCATTATTTCGTCGTTCCTCCGATCCTACATCCATCATCCGCGCCACACATCTAGCCCCTTCCTCGTCGCATCTGCCTTTACCTCCTGCTCATCTTGCTCCTCCTCATCCTAGTCATCCTCATTATCGCCATCATCGCCCGATTCTCCAACGGATCCTGTTTGAAACTCCCCTTCTGATCTTTCGCTCATCTTCTGGGCCGAAAGCGCACGCAGTCGCCGCCCAGTCTGGCCTATTGTTCCCCCCGAACCTCCCCCAGGACCCACCTCCAGGCCGGCAGCACGTACTCTTTCGTGAGCATAGTGTTTCCTTACCCCCATCTCTGCACGCATCGTCTGCCCACGCACCGCGGTCGACGGCCACGGCCTTGCCCACGCCTGCTACCAGGCATCGCACTGAGAAGGAGGGGGCAGGAGTGGGAAGGTGTCGAAGGAGGTGGAGTGAGGAGGGAGGAGGAGGAAACCTGCTTGAAGGTAAACGGTACACGAGTACCATGTTGGGGCAGCTGGCAGAGGGCAGCGTAAAAATGGGCACGAGGCAAACCGCATCGAGAGTGCAATCAGACGCTGAGGGCATCAACAAACTTCTTCAGGAAGTCAAAGCGCTCGCCCCAGAGCGAGTTGGTGGTGCGCGACTTCTGGAGGTGGTCCATGTTGATCTTCAGGATGGCAGCCCAGGTCTCTTTGTGGACAGTGGTGTTCACCCACTTGTCGTTGAGCAGCGTCATGCTCCAGATTTTTCCAACCATTGTCATAGCCTCGGACTTGCTGGCCTTCTCCATCGTGGCGGTCGGGGGGCAGTAGATCGGCATCATGATGAACCCAAAGGGAACGAATAGGACGTCCCCAACCCGTAGCTTGAAGACATGCGACTTCTTCTGGTACGTCTTGCCACCCTCCGCCGTGTCCATGAACTTCTTGAGGTCGGTGAGGGCCACCCCGTTCTTGACCACATCACTGGCGTCCACGATCTGGACCACAATCGAGTCGGTCTTCGCAACGAACACCGCGGCCATACCAGGCAAAGGGCACTGATTTGGCCCAGCACGCCATGTGTAGGGTCGAACGAAAGTCAGCCAGGGAACGCCACCCTTCTCGGACATGATCTCCAGGTGCTTCTCCGAAGGGTCCTCGACCGCATGCTCAACGAACTCGGTGATCTGATCATGGCCGAGCTGGACCCTCCCCATGCACCCAGCCCACGACTTGTTGTCCAGCGAAGAGATGGCATCCATCAATGACTTCTCGGTCTTCTCAACGTCGCTCGAGATCTCCGCGATCATCTTGCGCGTGGAGTTGTCCACGCTCGTCCACAGGCAGATGCGGCCAGGGATGATGTGATCTGGGTTCTTCTGGATATCCTCGGACAGGCTGGCCTCGTCATCTGCGTCCTCGAGCTTCTCCAGGGCCTGCGACACGATCTTGGCGAACGTGTTCGGGTATTTGCCAGCAACCAGGTGCCCTGAGACCTTGGTGCGGGCATAGCGCTTCTTCATGTTCTCCTTGCGAGTCTCCCTGGACGCCTTGTTGGTGATGAGCTGCATGCACTCCATCTGGGAATCGACCTTCTCTCCTAAATCCTCGAGCTCGGCCTCAACCTTCACGACGTCGGTCCTCGCGCGCTCGTAGTCGGGCCGCTTCAGCTTGCTGATGTGTTCGTCGAGGCGCTTGAGGGTGTCCATGACTGAGGCGTGAGTTTTCGTGATGTCGGTGGGATCGCTCTCCAACTCAGCCTTCTGTTCTGGTGTAAGCTTCGTTGCCTTAGCCATCATCTGCTTGTACGGGGACTTCGGCCCATTGATCGCCTTGATCGCCTCCTTCACCCGTGCCGCCAGCTTATCTCGATTCACCATGAATTCGAACGCCCTAGACTTGGGGGGGCCCTTCTCGATGCTGAGGGTGCTCGGGGCGGCCGAACAGACGCTCGGGGCGACGCTCTGCTTGCCAGTCCTGCGCCTCTTGATGGGGTCGGCCTGAGGGGCGCGCTCAAGCCCGAGAGGCACAGGCGAAACTGAAAGCAATTTCACATCAAACTCGGGGCCGAGGGGAGACACAATCAAACAATATACTCTGGCCCCCACTCCCCCAGATAAAACATGGGGGATCACACTGCGGAGAGACGGAGGAGGGAGAGGACGAGGGAGAGGAGGGTTGGCCACATGCATCACGCATGTGGTGTTCGAGCGGCCATGGCGACGAGGAGGATGACGGGGGTCGGGGGAGGGGCATGAGGAGTTTGCATGTGTGTTGCACCCCGCGCCTCCTCATGTGCCTTGAGGTTGTCTGAGGTCAGCGCCCCCAGGCGCTTGGTGGCCGATCTCGGGCTCCTGCGCGGCAGAGGGGTGGTGGTCGGTGATCTCACGGGCTCGATAGACTCGCTCATCACCTCGCAGTCGGAATCGTCCTCATGGGAGTCGCTCGGGCCAGGGCTGCGGCTGAGGCTGCCACGGCTGCGGCTGCGTCTGTCGCAAGAAGCACCTCGACGAGCCTCGCCGCGAGCGTAGCCATCCGTGGCGGCTGACTTCGAAGCACAGTCAGCTCTCACACCCGTTCGGACCGCCGAAGATGCGTTGTCGTCAATGCTGATGCACGGCCGCCCCATCTTGTCAAAGATCTCAGTGCCATCTCTCTTCTGGATTGCGAGCTTGATGTCGAAGTCGCGCTCGGCCTCCTCCTTCTCGACTCCCTCCCAGAAGGACATGTAGTTGATATACCTCACCTTGCAGAGCTCGAGCTTCGGGATGGTCCTCTCCTCCTGGCGGAACTTGATGGTGCAATCGAGCATGTTCTTACTCTGACGGCGAACTGCAGAGTCACGTGCACCACGCTCGCACACATTAGGGAGGACGATGGCCCTCCACTTCGTCGGGTCGTCGGTCATGAGGTTGTCGAACTCCCTCTTGTCCTCGCATCGGCGCCTCGACGACCGACACGCATTCAAGCAGAGATCGTGAAGCTCAAAGCCGAGGAACTTCTTGGTCGGGCCGCTCTCCTGACACAAGTAGCACTGGGGGGCGCCCTTGCCAGCGGCAGGGGCAGGGCGTCCAGCCTTGGGCCCTCCTCTCTTGGTGTGCACCGCCCGCTTGCAGCCCTTCTGGCCGTCCACGGCCTCAGCCTCAGACTCAGAGCTCTGATCCCCGAGCACGTCGGACTTGACCATAGCGGGGGCGCTCGCCGAAACCACCCAGGACAAGTCAACCCAGGGCCCCGAAGAAGTTGGGCTCTCAACTCGAAGAAGCACTCGAGCCACAAGTGCCATGGAGTGGAGGAGGCTGAGGACTGGAGGGAGATTGGCGATGTGGGTAGACCGTACCCCGACTGAGCTGGAGCGAGAGAGAGGGCCCAGAATAATCAGTAACAGATCGAGGGGAACATGGGCCCTGGGGTGCAATTTGAACCGTCCAAGAACACCTGCGACGGCCGAGCCGTCGCGGGTGTGATTTGACGATTCAAACAGCACCCGCATTGACAATTATTCGCATTATTGCCCCCTTATTTTTTTAGAATGTTCGGGACGGGATGTCGTTTGACCGTCTCCCCCCTCCTCCCCATGGCAGTTGCAGGGCACATGCGCTGCATGCTCGGCCACGGCGCAAGGGTTGTCCAAGGGGCCCAAAACACAGGGTGCGCCCCCGCCCCCCGCGCCCTTCTCCGCGGACCTCTAGGCTCCGTCGGCCAGACTACAAAGGTGGGGCTTCCCAAACAGACTACACCCGAGAACGCCCCAGCGCTTGGACACGGGCAGCCAAATAAGCGAAATAACGTATTCGACCTACGGCTCTACCCGTTCTTCGCAGGCAAGAAACAGAGTCCGCCTCGACAGATTCGTTACATACCAGATTCCAGGCGCTCATCCGATGCAGTCACACGCACAGTCATTCTTACCATGCTGTCATAGTAACACCGTAGTGATTCATACTGGCCTGGAGTGGTTCATCCTGGTTTGGAGTGGTTCATCCTGATTTGGGAGTGGTTCATCCTGGTTTGGAATGGTTCATCCTGGTTTGGGGAGTGGTTCATCATGGTTCAAACTGGTTCATCCTGGTTCAGAGTGGTTCATCCTGGTTTGGGAATGGTTCAGAATGGTTCATCCTGGTTTGGGAGTGGTTCATCCTGGTTTGAAGTGGTTCATCCTGGTTTGGAGTGGTTCATCCCGTAAATATAATGATAAGCCCGAAATATATAAATTCATCCCATACAGCGACAATGCTCGGTTGGTTTGTGCTCAACCATAAATACAATATGCAGCAATCTAAAGCACCCTTAATTACCCCAGCTAGCGATGCACACTTCACGGCCACCCCCACACATGAAGACATCTGAATCAGTCGGGCCGATGGCCGAGTTTTCCTGATCTGAGGGTGGATGCGAGGCTCTATATGCGCAGTAATCCACGCAGGGAGGTGGATTATGCGTTCGGTTGCCCCGACCCCCAACCTCCTCATCGCGCACTGGGTCTAGTTTGATAAGGCGTGATATGGGGTGCGCGCAGCGTCTCTACATCTTCCCCCGTTTGGGCTTCTCTGTTGCAGTGCGCAGGCTGGATAGCACGGATTCCTTTCGCAGATCCCACCCAATCCGAAATCGAACCGACGGAAAACTAGCTCAACGCGAACCCGAAATCAATGTCAAACAAGTTTGGACCGCCATCGAAACGACTTACGTGTGTTGCACGCCCACGACATGGTTTCTTTTATCAAACCGAGTCGTGGACAGCTTAACCATGAGTGTTGAGTCGCCATCTCCGCCGCCCATCATTAGTGCAGTGTAGCAGTGTAGTGCCTCTCTTTGACCAGCTCTACTACGACTCCTATCCCATACGATGCTTGTCTGACCCTCGCCCGTCGATGTTACCATACAAACATTGGTCATTGTCCATGGGTGTATCGCACCCTTATATTTCACTACTTGAATATGTGCGTTAGTCGATGCGTCGTTGCCCCTCTCTCTCTCACGCTGTATATACCACGTATGTGTACACCGCCCTGTTGCATGCAAACAACCTACATAGACACAGCCCTCTACAACTCCTCCGATGCATCTCCACTGCACCGCTACGGGGCGACTGCAAATGCCCCCGCCCCCACCCCAGTTGCCGTCAACCGTGGGCCCCTTTGGCTCGCCAGTAAGCGTGGGCAAGGTGCAGCGACGATGCCCGCGAGCAAAAGACAACGTAACAGCACGTGCCGACAAGGTGATACATCTGACAGGAACTCAATGGGGCTGGTCCGCACACGCATCGACACGGTGGCGCGGGCCCGTTCGGCCGCCAAGCTGGTAAAACACGCGCTTGGCTCTGCAACGCAGCACGCAAACGACGCACAACATCATGCCACTGCAATGCGCACCAAGTCGCGCAATGGAGGAGGTTCAACATGTTAGTGTGCACGTAAGTTCTCACGATATATGTGATTGCGCTGCTTGCATGGTCGTGAAGGTAATGTGTGTACCGCTGTTACTGTATTGTCTGTGCACCAACATGCGACCCCCTCGCCGACCTCGCCATCGTTCGTGCGATGGTGGGTCAGTTATCCCTCAAAAAATCACGCTGGGCCTGCAAACCAGGCCGCCAACGCTTATGCTGGTCATTGGGCATGTGGCTATGCTGCAACCACGCCCCAAGATACGCTTCAGCACACCTAATCCCCAAGACATCCCTATTGAGCTCGAGGCTCCTGGACCTCTTGCAATTAATATGGTCAGGATTATTGCAAACAACTCCTAAGCGCTCCCAGTGAACATAGCCTCCACTATGTTTGCGGGGAGTGAACGTCACCGCCTGTCCTAGAATGAACGTCACCACCCCTGGGATCGCAGGCTTGGCGATGTCAGCCACGGGAGGGGCTGGGGGCGGAGGCGGAGGCTCGCCCTTGTCGCTGCCCCCGCCCATGACGTCGTCGTCAGAGCCGCCTCCACCGCCACCCACTATGACATCATCATCGCCACCGCCTCCTGGAGCATGCCCTCCTGGAGGCTTGGGGGGTTCAGGCTCATCACTCTCGCCGTCGTCGCCGACAATGTCTTTGGGGGCTGGAGCTGGCCCAGGGAGAACCACTGCTGGAGCTGCAGCGATATCGCAACCCTTCAGCTCAGGCTTGCCCTCTAGCAGGTTCGTGCAATACTGAGCCCCTTGGTTGGGAGGTTGGTTCGTTCTCGCCCGCAGGAGGAGCCTGTAGTATGATTGCGGCTGCCCGCTCGGAAACGAAATAGATCCGTCACGGTAAAGGTCGATCAGAGTGATGATGCATTGCAGGTAGGGGGTTAGGCTGAGCAGTTTACGTTCGTCATACTCCTTGGGGCATTCAGCGTCATGCACGACACGTTTGCTGACGGCCTTGTAACCATCTGCATGTAAAACGTCAAGCAAAACAAGTACAGGTGTGCTGGGGTCGCTGAGCGGTTTCAGGGGGCACAATTGTTTCGGGTTCCGAAGCCTCACACACCCGTCCACGATACTATCTGCTACTTCCCATTTTTTTCCATTGATCTCTGGCGATATCCATTGGGCCGCCACGAAGGGCAGCGATATCCATTGTGCATGGGTCCACGAAAACATAGCAGTGAATATCGTCCCCGAGAGGTTCGCCGACAAGATCCTCGCCGAGAGGTGCCGACACCTCGAGGGGCTGCACAGTGATGTCGTAGATGCCGACCTGGTCCTGTGGGGGGATGCTCGAAACAAATGCGCAAGCACCTGGCACCCGCACATGGGAGGCCCTCGTTGTATGATACTACCTCGCCCAAATTAGGCACCGAACGATTCGTATTTTACCTAGGCGGTGAGCAAGCTACACCCAACGCCAATCTAAAGCTAGATGGCACTCTCACGCTGGTTCCAGGCCGGCCTAAAACGTTCCAAAGTGCCCAGCGGGGAGATGCCATCCCCCCCTCCCCCATGTTCGTTTTCACTTTTCTCGATCTTCCCCATCCTCCTCCCCCTCCACCTTGCATTGTCTCTCTCTCTCTCTCTCTC